AGGCTTATATTGATGTGAATTACCGAGAGGGCCTAGAGATACCTCTCTGACAATCGGAGTGACAAATCCTAATCTCGATCTATGCCAACTCAACAAACACCATCAGAGACACATGTAGAGCACCTTTATAATCACCCATTTACGTTGTGACGTTTGGTAGCACACAAAGTGTTCCTCCGGTATTCGGGAGTTGTATGATCTCATAGTCATAGGAACATGTATAAGTTATGGAGAAAGCAATAGCAACAAACTAAACGATCATCGTGCTAAGCTAACGGATGGGTCAAGTCAATCACATCATTCTCTAATGATGTGATCCCGTTAATCAAATGACAACTCATCTCTATGGTTAGGAAACATAGCCATCATTGATTCAACGAGCTAGTCAAATAGAGGCATACTAGTGACATTTTGTTTGTCTATGTATTCACACATATACTAAGTTTCTGGTTAATACAATTCTAGCATGAATAATAAACATTTATCATGATATAAGGAAACATAAATAACAACTTTATTATTGTCTCTAAGGCATATTTCCTTCACAAATGACATCTCTTTCTTTATAGGAATTGACATGCATGCCATCTCACTTCCTATAATTTTCCTATTCCTATAAAATTCCTATCCTATGAACCAAAGAAGGCCTCAATAGAAAAAATACTATGATGTGAATCAAAGGACATCTCTTTTCCTATTTCTACTCAGGCCTCCTTTGGTTTAGAGGAATCTTGTAGGAATTTCATGGGATATGATTTCTATAGGAAAAATTCCTTTAGATCCCTTTGGCTTGTAGGAATATAATCCTATTCTTATGAAGGAATTCTTCCTATCCTCCACATTTCATAGGAAAATAAGGCCTCCTTTGGTTTGTAGGAATCTCATAGGATTTCTATAGGATAGGATTTGCATAGGAAATTTTCCTTTGAAGCCCTTTGGTTTGTAGGAATGGATTCCTATTCATTATATGTAGGATAGGAATCAATTATTCACATTTTGGAGGAAAAAACATTAGCTAAGGCCTCTTTTGGTTCATAGGATAGGATTATCGTAGGAATAGGAATCTTGTAGGAAATGAGATGACATGTATTTCAAATCCTATGAGTAGGAATAGGAAACAAGATGTCATTTGGTTGACACCAAAGGAATTTTTCCATTGAGTCTAGGCTCATTTCTATTTTCTTATAAAATGTGGAGGATAGGAACCAATCCTATGTAGGAATAGGAATCCATTCATATGAACCAAAGGGCTCTAAAGGAAAAAATCCTATAAGAATCCTATCCTCTAGAATTCCTATGAAATTCCTCCAGACCAGAGGAGGCCTAAGACTCAATGGAAACATTCCTATCCTATGCATCAAATGACATGTCTTTCTCTATAGGAATTGAGATGCATGTCATCTCACTTCCTTTGATCTTCCTATTCTTATAACATTCCTATCTTATGAACCAAATGAGGCCTAAACATTTGCCTAGACTTCATGGAAAAAATCCTACGATGTGAATCAAAGGACATCTCCTTTCCTATTCCTACTCATAGGATTTGAGATACATGTCATTTCATTTCCTATGACTTTTCTATTCATACATTTTTCCTACCCTATGAACCAAAAAAGGCTTCATAGAATTTGAGATACATGTCATGATTTTCCTATTTCTATGATTTTCTTACCCTATGAACTAAAGGAAAACAAAATAAAGGACATGCTCAACACGAGCGGAGGAAAGTCGCCGGTGCCACTGCTACTGCTACGTTTTTCCTCAGGGAAAACAAAATAAAGGACAGGCTCAACACGAGCGGAGGAAAGTCGCCGGTGCTACTGCTACTGCTACGGGAGGGAATCAGTCAGGGAAGATCCGTTCCGCTCTCACTGTCTACAGCAGTAGTATAGTCGAGCTCCAGGAGACCAGGACATAAGGAAATGAATGAAGTTGGGTGGATCCGAATAGAAAACGACGGAGATAATTAGAATACGCAACGCGCGCAAATAATGAAGCCACGGTTCGATGAGAGCAAATAAAAGTCGTTGGTACTGGCGGCTACGTGCCGTGCCAAGGACGACCACCAAGTATGAGTAGCTGGGAGGCTGGAACGGGAGGAAGCGGACCCGGGGGAAGGTGAGGTGAGAGAGTCGGAGGGAGCCCCGCTCCGGCCAGCCTCCGTCGGCACCCACGGCCGGCAGCGGCAGCGGCAGCGGCACGCCATGGACGCGGAGGCCGGAGAGGCGCCCCTCCTCTCCCACCAGCACAGCCCCAACCAGGTAACCCCGCCTTGCCCACCGGAAAAGCCCATTCCCCAAAAACGCCTGCCTACCCGCCACCCATTTATTTCTCTGGCTCTGGCTCGGCGCCTCTACTACATCACAAATCTTCTTCTACTTCTTGCACCACCACCAGCATCTCTCGCGTCGCAAGTAGGGAGAGGTTGAGATCAGGCTCCTCGGATTCATGGCCACGCCACGGGCTTCAGATTCGGCTCCGGGTTTGTCAGATAGGGTTGGTGTTGCTCAATTTTAGTACTACTCTCATTGTAGTAGACTGTAAGTACACGGCGCTCATCCTGTTAGATCTCCCCGTCGCTCGCTTGCTTGTAGCAGCAAGCAGCGCGCACATTCCGATCTCGGCTCACTTACATCACATCCAAATTCCACCTTAGATTCGCACTCCTGCTTGCCACTCCTCTGCACTGACGCTTGGGCACTTGCTATCCACCTCAAACTAAATCTCTCGGCTCTCATCCCTGCTCCCTAAATTGGTCAACCATTTTCTTCCTCATTTCAAGTCGCACAATCTGGTCACCTTTAACTTGCTTCATCTGTTTCTCCATGCATACAGGTCCCGTCGGCAAATCACAACGGCAAACCCTTCAACTGGAAGGCTCCTGCTATTATCTTGGGTCAGCTCCTCCTCATGTTACTTCCTACCAGTCTCATGGATGCAAACAAACCTACTATACTATGAACATTTTCTTCTCTTGCAAACAAATTAACACTCCTTTTCACCGCAGCGTTTGAGTTCTTGGAGAGCATTGCCTACGCTGGTATTGCCCTCAACTTGGTAGTATATCTTGGGAAGGTCCTTCATGGAACTACGGCTTCAAATGCCGCGAATGTCGATACATGGAACGGCACCACGTTCCTCACGCCCGTTCTCGGAGCATTTCTTGCTGATACATACTGGGGGAAGTACAAGACCGTCGCAATCTCCATAATATTCTATCTTACTGTAAGTACATGCATTCTACAAATTCAGAACTTGCTCTCTGTTATGCTCATTTTATTGCAGTCATCATGTGTGATTTCTTAACTCCTCAATTTTTCTGTCAACAAATAGGGGCTGCTCATCATAACTGCTTCGGCGATCATTCCATCTTTACAACCCGCCGCATGTGAAGGAACTTCATGCCCTCCTGCCACAGGGTTTCAGAATTTTGTCTTCTTTACTGCACTATACCTTGTCTCGGTTGGGACTGGAGGGGTTAAATCAGCTTTGCTCCCACTTGGAGCTGATCAGTATGATGATTCAAACCTTGAGCAGAGTAAAAAGAAGCAGGCTTTCTTTAGCTGGTTCTTCATTGCCATTAACCTTGGCGTCTTCATCTCGGGGACAGTTGTTGTATGGATACAGCAAAATGTTGCTTGGTCTCTTGGATTCGGCATCTCATCGATATGCCTCATTATCGCCACAGTTGCCTTCTTGGCAGGAACACCAATCTACAGGGTTCAACTTCCTACTGGAAGCCCACTGAAAAGTCTTGTAGCGGTGTTTGTCGCATCATTTAAAAAGAGGAAAGTGGAGGTTCCTGCTGATAGCTCAATATTGTTTGATGGGAATGAAACCGACTTAACCAATGAGGCACCAAACAAATTGGCACATACCGAAGGATTCAGGTACGTTTATCACATGATGAAATCCAGGCTGGTAGCATAGCCGGACAAGTTAGTTCAAATTTGTTTGTTGTAAAAAGAAACTTATTTCACATGATTTCAAGAATTCCCCACTAGCTACAAATAGACATATGGAAGGTGTAATATCCCCCTTAACATTATTTTACGAAAATAGAGTCAAAACATATTTATGAAATCAGTAGCGTTTTTTATATCCTTTTTCTTGTAAAGAATGGTGTTGTTAGAGCTGCTGGGAAAATGTGAATTTTTTTTTTGTTCTTCTAAAAAAATGTGATTTTTGTATCAAAAGGTTACATTGACATGTGGCCTTGATTTGTTCATGTGAATCTCAAAGAGAAATTAAGCTCAGTCTGTCCTCATATTGTACTCGAGGTCCTCCCTCCCAGAATATAAGATGTTTTTGCAAGCTAAAAGGAGTACTATTCTTCAACCACAACCTCCGATTGTAATTAGTAAAAAAAATGTCATGAAACATATCAGTCCTAATTAGCCCCATCTAGGGCCTGTTCGGTTTCTCTCCGCTCCCGTGACTCAGCTCCCGGAGCGGAGCGGGCTGCTGCAGCTTTTTACGGAGCAGCTCAAATCGAGCTCCGCAGCTCCGTGGAGTTGAGCGGAGTGGAGAGATCCCAAACAGGGCCCTAATCTACCAGATAGAATTAAGTTGTCTCTCGCAACATTGTACATGTGAGTCATGTTATGTTATATAATGATCAAACATTAGAATTTTTTAGAATTTTCTGTGGCTGTGTTCATTGCAATTGTAGTTACCCTCCTTTAAAAAAGACAATACGTAGAATTTTTGCATTTGTACTACAGTATAATACAGCAAATCCAGTTTCTGTTACGTGTAACGTGTTAGTTATAATCATGGACTCGTGGTAAAGTTTGTGTGCAATTTGAGTCATTTTTGTTACCTTTCAGTCGAATAGGTATTCTGCACTTTGACAGTTGAATTCTTTCAGGTGCTTTGTTACCTTTTAGTCGAATATGTATTCTGCACATTGACATTGGAATTCTTTCAGGTGCTTAGATAAGGCTGCCGTAGTCTTAGGGGACCAAGAGATAAAGGAGAGCCTTTCTGGGCGTCCATGGATGCTATGCACAGTAACTCAGGTGGAGGAAGTGAAGATCCTTGTTCGGATGCTTCCAATATGGTTCACCAGCGTGTTCTACGCAGCTTCCATGTGCCAAACGGCCACCACCTTCATCCAACAGGGGAACAAAATGAACACAAAGATTGGATCCTTCTCCGTCCCTCCTGCTTCCATGAACTCTGCCTCGGTGGTCTTCATGATGATCTTTGTCGTGATCCAGGACAGCATTGTGATCCCAATGGCCAGACGATACACCGGAAACGTCGCCGGGCTCACGCAGCTGCAGCGCATGGGCGTTGGCCGGTTCCTGGCGGTCCCGGCGCTGGTCGCGGCCGCGCTGGTTGAGATGTGGAGGCTGCGCAGCATCAGGGCCGGCCACAACCTGAGCATAGCATGGCAGCTCCCCCAGTTCATGCTCATCGCCTGCTCCGACGTGTTCTGCGGCATAGCTCAGCTCGAGTTCTTCTACTCGGAGGCCCCCATGTCGATGCGGAGCCTGTGCTCGGCGTTCTCGTTCCTTGCGATGTCGCTTGGATATTACCTGAACTCGATGATCATCTCGGCCATCGCTGCTCTGACGAAGGGCGGGGGCGGGCGGGGCTGGCTTCCCGCCGACCTGAACGACGGGCATCTCGACTACTACTTCTGGCTGTGGGCGGGGATCGGCGCGGTGAACTTTGTTGTGTACACGGCATTCGCCAAGAATTACACGGTGAAGAAAGTCGAGCTCCGGTGAACACGGTTTGCTGTCGGTCACAGGCGTACGTTTTTCATCCTCTTTGTTGTGTATGTACCGTCTACAAAACCAGTTCGATGTAATTAAATATCGCCCAAAATTCCTGTAGCTGTGTTCATTTGAATAAATATAAAAGGTGCCTTTGGAACAGAAATGAAACAAAGCTAGCTCCCTCTGTTTGCAGCTGTGCAGACATCAATACGTCTGAACTTTGAATTCTCACTAGTATGACTCTGCTGGGGTGCTATCCGCGTTTATTCACCAAGAGGCCTCACTTCTATGGCCTACCTAACATCTGAACTTCCAGCAATACATCTCTTGAGCGGTTCTTGTTGACCAGCAACACATTTGCGGATCACACTTGAATCAATGTGCCTAGCCCAGTAGTTGGGGAATTGGTTGGGATTGATGAGAGTCACATGGCGAGGTTGCCCGTCGCCAGCAGTTCCAGGAAACCCAAGTAGCCAGGCAAGTTGCAAGTTGAGCTGGATCGGCAATACTAGACTAGTGCCAGCACCGTGAACGCGGACAGACGCAAGGTTGGGTCATTGGCTGCTATAGTTTTAGCTCATGCATCGAGCTAATCCCGCGGCCTAATTAAGTGGTCGCAAGTCGCAACTGCCTGCCTAGTGGCCGATGAAGAGCTGACCAGAAGTAGCCCAAGTCATAAACTATAACAGCAAGCGGTGCTCGACTGCTCGTCTGAATCTGGATGCCTTCCAGTGCTCTCCTCGCTGTTATCTTGCAGCAATGTCAGTAGTGCAGTAGTATGTTAGTGACAACTGGACGCAGTATCAAATGCGCGTGCCTGGTCTACTCCGAGCTTAACTCTGAGGCCAAAGGAAAATGAGAAGCAGCAGCTAGAGCGATCTTGTGCTACATCACTGTCGCCGCCCACGTCCCATGCACATCAGCAAACGCGAGAGCGGCATCGAAGGACGGTTGGGTAGGCCGTAGCTGCCTGAAACGGGGCTTCCGTGGCGAATCCGGGCTGCCTTGGTGTCTTGGGTTGCAAGGGAAGGTGACGTGACCCGCCGCCTATCCCTCCGCCTTCTGCCCCAACAACCATGGATGGCGCCAAGGCTCACGGTCCCGCACCGCCCGCACGCCCACGGCCGCCTCTGACGGATGAGGTACGCCGCACATCTTTTCTTTGGGTTTTTCAGTGCACTGCGGTGGCGTCGCTGCCCGCGGGTTTGGTTCAAGGAGGGAGGGAGGGAGGGGGAGGCCACTCCATCCAGCTCGTTTATCCTCCCCGCCCGTACCTGTCCGGTTGCTGACGGGGGCCGAGCGGGATGACGCGCTGCCCTCGTCCTGTAGCTTGACTTTCACCGCGCGCGACCAAATCCGCCGAGCTCATCAATTCCACTCCGGTCTCGCGGTTTACTATTTTAGTTACTGTTTCATTCATTTCATTTCATCCCGCTGCCTTGTCTGTCTGTCATAGTCATTAGAACCTTCCGTCTTTGCTCCTGGTCGATCTTTACTCGCTGAATCTGGATGCGGCCTGCAGATGGCGTCCTCTGCTGGTAATGGCAAGGAGATGGCCGCGCTCGAGTCCGGCCATGGGTCGTCGTCCTCCTCCTCCTCGTCGCCGGCCGCTGCTGCCAAGATGACGGCGGTGGCGGGGAAACCGCGCCCCTTCACCTGGACAGGGCCTGCCATTGTTATGGGTAAGTAACCAACGACGACGACGATTTCCATTGATTCATGTGGCTGAATGAATGACTGGCTGTGGTGTGCAGGCTTCGAGTTGCTGGAGAGCATCGCCTTCTCCGGCGTTGCGCTGAACCTGGTCATCTACCTGGGCACCGTGCTCCATGGCACCACCGCCTTCAACGCCGCCCACGTCGACACCTGGAACGGCACCACCTTCATCGTCCCCGTCCTCGGCGCCTTCCTCGCCGACAGCTGCTGGGGCAAGTACAACACCATCGTCGTCTCGCTCCTCTTCTACCTCGCCGTCAGTATCCTCCTCTTATCTTCATCACTTCACTTGTGATTCAGTCAGGCAAAAGTCGTACTGTAGTTGAGATTGATAGGGAAATGAAATGTCGATCGATGGATGCAGGGCCTCGTGCTGCTCACCCTGTCCGCGGCGATCTCGCCCTTCCGGCCGTCGTCGTGCCAGGGGCTCTCGTGCCCGCCGGCCTCACGGACCCAGTTCTCCGTCTTCTTCGCGGCGCTGTACTTGACCTCCATCGGCACGGGGGGCGTCAAGTCGGCGCTGCTCCCGTTCGGGGCGGAGCAGTACGACGACAGCAGCCCGGAGGAGAGCCGGAGGAAGCAGTCCTTCTTCACCTGGTTCTTCGGCGCCATCAACCTCGGCATCTTCGTCGCCGGGACGCTCGTGTCCTGGCTGCAGCAGAACGTGTCCTGGGCGCTCGGCTTCGGCGTCTCCGCGCTCTGCCTGCTCCTGGCGGCCGCGGGCTTCCTGGCCGGCACGCCCTGGTACAGGGTGCAGCTCCCCGCCGGCAGCCCGCTCAGGGACATCCTCAGGGTGGTGGTGGCGTCCGTCAAGAAGAGGAAGACCAGGCTGCCTGCAGCCGCGGGTCAAGGTGACCTTGGCCTGCACGAGGTGGCGGAAGACGACGACCTGCAGAAGCTGGCGCACACCAAGGGGCTCAGGTGCCTGGACAAGGCCGCGGCGAAGGGCGGCGACGGCCGCGAAGGCCCGTGGAATCTGTGCACGGTGAGCGAGGTGGAGGCCGTCAAGATCCTGGCGCGCATGGTGCCCATCTGGGTGACGTGCGTGCTCTACGCGGCGTCCCTGGGGCAGATGACCACCACCTTCATCCAGCAGGGGATGACCATGGACAACAAGCTGCTCGGGAAGGTGAAGGTGCCGGTGGCGTCGATGGTGTCGATCGAGGTGGTGTTCATGCTGCTGTGGGTGCTTCTGCACGACGCCGTCATCATGCCGCTCGCCAGGAGATGGGGCCGAGCCGGGAGCGCCGGGCTGTCCCAGCTCCAGCGGATGGGCGTGGGGAGGGTCCTGGTGGTTCTGGCGATGGCGACGGCGGCGCTGGTGGAGAGCCGGCGGCTGCACGTGGCCGGCGCGGGCAGGAAGATGGGCATCGCGTGGCAGGTGCCGCAGTTCGTGCTGGTGGCCGGGTCGGACGTGTTCTGCGGGATCGCGCAGCTGGAGTTTTTCTACGGGGAGGCGCCGGCGTCGATGCGCAGCATCTGCTCCGCCTTCTCCTTCCTCGCGCTGTCGCTGGGGTTCTACGTCAACTCGGTGGTGGTGACCGCGGTGGCGGCGCTGAGGCCCGGGTGGCTGGCGCGCGACCTCAACGAGGGGCACCTGGACTACTACTTCTGGCTGTGGGCCGTCATCAGCGCCGGCAACCTGCTGCTCTACCTGCTGCTTGCCGCCCGGTACACGCCCAAGCAAGTCCTCCGCCACTCGCCATAGCCGCCGGCACCGAGTTAGCTAATGCACTGCTCCGTACTACTGTATGATGAAATGTCTGAATGATGATGTAACTTGGACACATCACGCCGTAGAAGTCTTGCCGGATATAACTCTTGTTTTGTACATGTTCAGAGAGTGTCGTTAACGTTAACTAAGCTGGGAGATATGTAAGGGCAATTTTATCTTTTAGCAAAACAATGGGTGAATGATTTTCAGTTCTTTGTCCTTAGGATGAATGCAATCATAGTTTCTTGGTTATACTGTAATCGCATAAGGTTTTCTTGCGTACAATTTGTTTTCTGAAAAGCATAATTTTCTGCAACAATACTCTTGCTGCGAAACCTTTTCTTCTCTAACTTTCTACAACAAGAGTCATGTTACAAAAATCTCTTCTTCTCTAATTTTCTACAACAAAACATCTGATGCAAAATATTCTCTTATTTAATTTACTGCAACAAGACCCCTATTGCAAAACTTTTTCTTCTCTATTTTTTTGCAACAAGACCCTTGATACAAAACTTCTTCTCTATTTGTTTGTAACAAGACTCTTGTTGCAAAACTTCCATTGCAATAGACCCAACATCTCTAACTTCTTCTATGTATTCCTGCAACAAGACTGTTGTTGCCAAAACTTGCAAGACTGCCGACGGCTGCAACTCGAAGAGAGCAACCCGTGGTCTCTGCATCACCCCATTTGTTGCGGTATACTTTTTCGAAACAGGTGCTCAGTTATAAGAACTGTAGTACGGAGCACTCTGCATGGTCAGATGAGATTCAACGCATGGATAGGAGAGATAAAAATATGCGGCCATTTCGTCAGAGATAGAGATGGAAAGAAGCGGTGCACTTACCCATCAAAACATGTGTCAAAGCATAGAACGTGGTGGATGTGAGAGGAAAGATCGATCGGTTGACCACTAGCTTTTTCCAATTTCAATTTAGTTTTAAAGGTTTTCGTAGTTTTATGGGGGCTTCTAAAGGCAAACATATTGGTTTCAATCGACAAGTAGTGTCAATGTAAATGATTGTTATCAACCTACTGATGGATATTGATAGGTTCCTCCACCTTGTCTCCTTCCTATTCCAAACACTCCTCTCCCAGATGTCATATCCGCCCGAATGCTACTCGTCTCGCGGTTCCTCATGTGTCCCCCTCCTTCGATCCCCTCCCAAGTGTCCTCCTCCATGATAGTTAGTGGCCTGGAGCTCGCGCCATGGGCATACTCTAGAGTGGTGTTTGAGTTGAATACATGCTGCTTCATGGATACCTCACTGTGGAGCTTGAGTTCGCACCACCAAGCTCCAACGGATATCATGGTAGAATGGAATGAGTCAAGGATTGCCTAATATAGCTCTAACAGGCATTTGGTGTGTCGGGTTCATGGTTAGCGAGCCAGCTCGAATTCAACAAAAGGCGGCGCCTGCATTGTGATGGTGAGAGGGCTGTGAAAACCAAGATTTTTCGATGTTGCGTACTGTTGGACATGCTGCAAATGTGCATGGTGTTTTGTTTTGTACACATAGCTTCATCAATTAATGCTCAATCTTCATTTGAAGCTTGAGATCAACTTGCGAGCTTCTCCTTGGGATGTCAACATTTGATGTTTAAACTCTAACTTGAGCTTGGTCACTTGAATGACATTGCCCTTGGTCTTGTTCACTTGATTGAGGGACATGTTCTTGGATAGGAAGTTGATCTTCAAGTATGAATTGATCTTGATCATTGTGTTAACCTTTTTGTTGAGGTAGGAGGTTCTACTTGTGTTGAACTTGACTCTTCTCCTTCATCACTTGAGCTTGTTCAATGTGTAAGATGTTTACAACACCCATGTCCTTGTAGCTTCAGAAGAATCTATATCACCTACGACACTGGGAACAACTTGCTCCACTTGGGATCCATTATCTTCATCAAAATCCACAACACAAGATTTTTCAACACGTTTGACAAATTTATTGTAGAATTTTTGAGTGTTTGACACATATCCAACAAATATGTCCTAAGTAGATCTAGATGCAAGTTTAGCTAACTGAGAAGCTTGGGAAGGATTGATGGTCACCTCAAGGCAAACCACTAGCTATTTGAGCTCCTACTTTGTGTTGGAGGCTCAAAGGAGAAGAAGGCAATACTTTGTGTTGTGGGGGGTACTTGTGTTCCCTATACCTCTCCAACGAAGATTATTATTTCTCCAAGTGTGTGAAATGGGGGATAATTCCTTCAACTCCAACTTGTGGCTATTTTGTGCCTCATCATTTACTATCTGCAAGTTATTGCTAGCTTTGTTTACTTGTGGATCTTGTGCACCTAGCTTTATCTTGTCATATAGGTTGTATCCTGTATTTGCATATTTAGATAACTTACTTTATCCACAATCACTAAAGGCAATTAAAAAGAAAAAAGATGTAGCCGCCTTTTAACCCCCTCCTCTCATCCTCCTATTGGCATATTCGAACCCTCAATCCTGCATGTAAACCCGGGCATGGGCAGCCCGACCCGACTACCCGGCCCGAAAAACCCGGGCCGGGCCGGGTCGAGCTTGACATTCGGGCCGGGCTCGGGCTCGGGCTTTGTTTTGCAGCCCGAAAGATAGTTCGGGCCAGGCTTGGGCTCCAGCTTTTCTGTATTTCGGGTCGGGCTTGCATGTGCGCGTACTAAAAAACAACATTCGGGCCGGGCTTTCGGGCTTCGGACTTGATTTCAGGCTAGGCTCGGGCTTGAAAACATGGAGTATTTCGGGCTTCAGGCCGGGCTCGGGCTTGAGAAATGAAGGTCGGGCTTTTACAAGCCCGGCCCGAAACCTAGCCCGGCCTGACTTTTGCCCGGGTTTACCTGCATACACAGTTGTTTGTAGTGGCCATTCTGAGACATGTCGTGTCCAATAGACCTGCCACATCAAATAGATCATCCTTGGTGGAGGTCGTTCATTGTATTCGCGGTGAACGCACCACAAACTCTACCTTGATACAAACCAATCTATGTGAGAAAATACACCAAAGGAAGAGGCAGATATGAGAAAATTTAGAACAACTTGGCCACCATTACCAAGTGTTCCGCTGCTATCACTCATCATCTCTAGTCGACTTAGCTCTTGTACGAATGTATTACTTGATTTGTCGTGTGTAAGATTGTGAGACGGTTTTAAGCTTTTGTCTTGAAGTGAGTTTTTAAATCTTTGTGTCTACTATATATCTTTGCGTTTGATGAATCAAATTTATATGTTAATTTCCACCTTTTATTTTGTTTTGTAGTATAGGATTCTTTGGATTTTACCATGTTCACGCACCTTCTTTGTTTTGGAGTTCAAGGAAAGAACACCAATTTATGGTGATAAAATCACATCAATTAACGTGATAAAACATTACCATAAAGGAGTAAAACACCTGGGAGAAGAGATAGCTCATGCAGGAGCCTCCATAGCACAAAACGGCCCATCGCTGCCTCTGCTTGGTCAACTACTTCCTTGTGCAGATACATCGGGGATCAGAGACTCCTAGCCACCAGAAACACAACGGAAACGAAGAACTCTAGCCTTCGGAAGGATTCTAGAGGGGCAATTGATCAAGGGACTCCGTCGTCGCACCACCGCATTGACGTGGCTTGAGACTGCGTCAGTATTTCCCCAAAGAGGAAGGGGTGATGCAGCACAGCTACGGTAAGTATTTCCCTCAGTTGTGAAACGAAGGTTATCAATCAAGTAGGAGAACCAAGCAACACTATGTAAATGGTGCCTGCACACAAAGAACAAATACTTGCAACCCGACACGTAAGAGGGGTTGTCATTTCCTCCTCGGTAAAAAGATAGATTAAATTGTATGAGATTGGATAAATAATATGAATAAAACACAAAGTAAAATAAGTAAATAAAAAGTGCAGCAAGGTATTTTTGGGTTTTTAGAATAATATATCTGAAAACAATATGATAAAAGATAGACCCCGGGGCCGTCGATTTCACTAGTGGCTTCTCTCGAGAAAATAACATATGGTGGGTAAACAAATTACTGTTGGGCAATTGATAGAAGAACAAATAATTATGATGACATCCAAGGCAATGATCATGAATATAGGCATCACGTCGAAGATTAGTAAACCGACTCCTGCCTGCATCTACTACTATTACTCCACACATCGACTGCTATCCAGCATGCATCTAGTGTATTAAGTTCATGGAGAAATGGAGTAATGCAATAAGAACAGCGACATGATGTACACAAGATCTATTCATGTAGGAATAGGCCCCATATTTTTATCCTTAATAGGAATGATACATACGTGCCTTGCTACCCTTTCTGTCACTTGGTGAGGACACCGCAAGATCGAACCCATCACAAAGCACCTCTTCCCATTATAAGAAAATCAATCTAGTTGGCCAAACCAAACCAAAGTTTTAGAGAAGAAATGCGTGGCTATAAATAATCATGCATATAAGAGATCAAAGAAGACTCAAATAATATTCATGGATATAGATCTGATCATAAACTCAAACTTCATCGGATCCCAACAAACACACCGCAACAAGTCATTACATCAAATAGATATCCAAGAACAACAAGGAGAACATTGTATTGAGAATCAAAAAGAGAGAAGAAGCCATCTAGTTGATGACTAGGGACCCATAGGTCTATGGTGAACTACTCACACATCATCGGAGGAGCACCAATGAGGATGATGAACCCCTCCGTGATCGTGTTCCCCTCTGGCAGAGTGCCGGAATAGGGCTCTAGATTGGATCTCGTGGTTCTGCAACTTGCGGCGGCTGGAATTGTGTTTTGTCAACTCCCCTAGGGTTTCTCAAATATTTGTGTATTTATAGAGTTGAGAGGCGGTGGAGGAGACCCCCGTGGGCCCCACAACCCATCAGGGCACGCCAGGGCCACTGGCGCGCCCTCGTGTCTTTTGGGCCCCACGGGCCTCCCCCATGGTGTTTCCTTGGCTCCCAAGTTGTCTTCTGGTCCAAAAAAATCTCCAAATAGTTTCGCTCCGTTTGGACTCCGTTTGCTAGGGATATTCTGTGAAATAAAAACAAGCAAAAAACAACAACTGGCATTGGGCACTATGTCAATAGGTTAGTCCCAAAAAGTGATATAAAGTGGCTATAAAATGATTGTAAAACATCCAAGAATGATAATATAACAACATTGAACAATAAAAAATTATAGATACATTGGGGATGTATCAGCATACCAAGCTTAATTTCTGCTCGTCCTCGAGTAGGTAAATTATAAACAGAATTTTTGATGTTGAATGCTGCCTAACATGTTCATCACATATTCTTTTCTTTTGTAGCATGGACATTTGGACTTTTAGACGGTTCAAAACAATAGTCTATATTTGACATGAAGACTTCAATACTCAAGCATATCAACGAGCAAACCATGTCTTTCAAAATATCAAAACTAAAGAAAGTTATCCCTAGCCCATCATGCTCAATCATTCATCCATTCAAAAAAAACACTCGAATATTAGCTACACCCAATGCACAAGTACGATCATAGTGCTCCCTAGTTGGTGCTTTATAAGAGAAGACGGAGACCCAAGCTCGCCACTCATTTTTAACTTTGTTGCGGATGCCCTGGCGGCCATGATTAATAAAGCGAGGGCAGCGGGGCACATTAAAGGTCTTGTAGCCCACCTTATTCATGGTGGGGTTACGCATCTGCAATACGCAGATGATACGATGCTCTTATTCGAACCCGACGACCACAGCATAGCTACCATCAAGTTACTACTGCTCGCTTTTGAGATTTTATCGGGGCTTAAGATCAACTTTCTGAAGAGCGAAGTGATCACCATTGGGATGGATGATCTAGCAAGCACTCGGATTGCGAATCTACTTAATTGCAAGCTAGGGAGCTTCTCGATTAAATACTTGGGTCTTCCGATCTCGACCAAGAAACTAACCATAGCGGAATGGGAGCCGCTGTATGGGAAAGTCGCTAACAGAGTGAGCCCTTGGAGGGGCAGGTTTATGTCCTCGGCGGCGAGGCTTATCCTCACCAACTCGAGCTTATCCTCCCTTCCTATTTTAATAATGGGAATGTTCCTACTTGCGGATGGGGTTCACGCTAGAGTCGATACTCCGCGCTCCCGGTTCTTTTGGGAAGGAGCTAGGACCAAGCGCAAGTACCACTTAGTGAAATGGGCAGCGGTTTGTAGGCCCAAAAAATTTGGCGGCCTGGGTATTATGAAATCTAAACTCATGAACGTGGCCCTGCTTGCTAAGTGGTGGTGGCGTCTCGCCCAAAACGAGTTGGGACTCTAGGCAGACATCCTCCGGGCTAAATATTTCCTAGACGGGAATTTGTTCAAGGCCAAAAGCAACGGTTCGGCCTTTTGGAACGGGGTCCAAGCGGTCCGACCGGCCTTTACAGTGGGTGCACAGTTCCGTGTAAACGATGGCAAGTCCACACGCTTCTGGCTCGATCATTGGTGGGGTCAGGAACCGCCGTGGCAATCTCACCCGGAGCTGTACAAACTGGCAACAGACACCAACATTACGGTGGCCGATGCTCTACGAGTCCAGCCGCCGGCCATCTCTTTTATTAGGATGCTAGAGGCAACGGAGGCCGCTTGCTGGGACGCTTTGGCGGCTAACTTGGGAGGGCTGACTAGTAGTAATGGTGCGGATACGATTACGTGGAAGTTGACCTCCTCCAAGAAATTTATGGTCAAGTCCCTGTACGACAAGCTCTCCGAGGGTGCTACGCTGGATATAGCTAGGGGCTATGGAAGGCTGGCATTCCTCTCAAAATCAAGATCTTCTTATGGCAAATGTTTCGCAACCGCTTACCTACTTCGGATAACGTGGCCAAATGCAACGGGCCAGCTGACGGAACGTGCACCACTTGCGGTTTAGGGGGAAATGTGAATCATGTGTTCTTTGGCTGTGTGCTCGCTAGATTTGCGTGGAGTGCGGTTAGAGACGCTTTCAAACAAAATTGGTATCCATAGTCTAGCCATGATGTTCTGGATATCTTAACATCGCAAAGAGGGGCCAATGCTAGGATCGTTTGGAGATGCGTTGGGGCGCTACTTTGGTCCCTTTGGACGGTTCGGAACAAAATTACGATAGAGCACAAGTTTCCGGACCACCCCGCTGATATCATTTTCAAATGTCACATTTTCCTTCAGGTATGGGCACCGCTGGGAAAGAAGCGTGATGTCGACCGCATGAACAAGACTATGGAGTTAATCAAGATGACTATGGTGAAGGCACGACAAGGATGATGGCTTGATCATGAGACCTCTACTTTTAGCTATCTTACGTCTCGATGCTCCGCTTTTGCGCTATGGAACTTTTGGCTATGGCCTTCTTATCTTTATTCTGAGCCATGAGCTTGTTGACTGTTTTATTCGGTTTGTAAGACTTATTATGTGTGGATCCTGCCTGGTGGCTTTATTAATTTAAAGCCGGACGCTTCTAGCGTCTATGTTCCAAAAAAAGAGAAGACGGAGACTCAAATAAAAAAATTGCATAAAATAAAATAGATAGGCCGTTCGCACAGGGAAGCAGAGATTTGTAGAGGTGCCAAAGCTCAAATCTTAAATTGAGAGATAATTTTTTAGAGGCATGCTTTTCCCATCAACAAAGACGACTGCGTAATTTCTAATACTTTCCATGCTAGATACATCATAGGCGGTTCCCAAATATAAAATAAAGTTTATTCCTTTTTCCACCATTCTATCACAATCATGGCTAGCCGTATCCAGGGGTGCCTTCCATACCAATACTTTCCAAGGAATTTATTATTTGACAACATAAAGTAAATTTATGTTTCCTTTCGGGACTGGGCATCCCTATTACCGCCGTACTCTCATGCAATGACAAGTGAATAAACACTCATCTTGAAAATAACACATCTAGGATGGAAAAATATTGGCCACCCCCGCCGCTTCATGAGAAGTACGGGCACACAAAAAAGAAATTCATTTTGAAAATTAGAGTTGGCACATACAAATTTACTTATAACGACACGAAAATGCCGCATATAGGTAGGTATGGTGGACTCATATGGCATAACTGGTTTAAGGATTTTGGATGCACAAGTAGTATTCCCACTTAATGCAAATGGAGGCTAGCAAATAGATTGAGAAGCAACCAACCAAGAAAAGAAAATTCTCATAAATGAGCATTAAGCATAATTAACACCGAATAATGCACCACAAGTAGGATGTAATTTCATTGCATAACTATTGACTTTCGTGCTTGCATAGGGCATCACAAACCTTAACAACAATATTCTTACTAAAGCATAATTATTCACCAACATGACTCACATATTACTATCATCATATCTCAAAACTATTACAAAGAATCAAGTTTATTTTGTCCAATGATCTTGATGAAAGTTTTTATTATACCCCTCTTGAATATATATCACTTTGGGACTAGTTTCATATATTTCCATTGCTTTTGACAAGCTCAAACAAATTTAAGTGAAGAACATGAGCATAAAAATTTTCATCTCTCAAAATAATATAAGTGAATCATGAGAGAATTTCTTAAAAAAATTACTAACTGTCAAATAAATCAAGTGAAGCATGAGAGTATTTCTTCAAAAAAAATTAAAGCACATCATGCTCAAAAAAATATAAGTGAAGCAG